AAGATACATGCTAATAAACAGACAACCCGAAAATGGGTTCATTTTATTGATTCAATTACAGGAAATGATTTTATACTAATTTTTGAACATAATAAAAGGTAGTAACAATACATTAGCTGATATCTTATCAGGATTGATTCATTGAACATGAATGGAATATCGTGGACCATCATCCTCAAATAGCATAAGACAACAAGACAGAAGAGCACATTTCAATAGCATAATGATGCACCATGGACCTCCACCATTTAGTGGATTCCAAAATAGTATAAGTAGACCAACATCACCACCATTACTCACTTTCAACTTTAATGGCACTCTTGTTGAATGAATCAGAAATCCAACTTTGAGGTATAGGTCAAGGGTACCAAAACTCTCTGATAGGCAACAAGTTCTCTTAGATAATTTTTGGAATATCCAAATCAAACAGCCAAACATGAGGTTAGGTCATGAAAAACTAATTAAAGCTTTAGAACAAGAGTTTGATAACTTTAATTTTAATTTCCATCAAAGCCAACATCATATTCATTTTCTTGAGCACAACCTTTAAGTCATTTCTAGAGACCATGATTCATTACTTAGTAAGTTTACCAAAATGAACCAAGAACTCCAATCTCTTAGAATGCAGCAAAAGACAAGTGACACCTTGAAAAGAGAATTCAAAATAGGTTTAGAAACTGATCAACATAAGAATAAATAAAAAGAGGTTTTTGAACCCGTAGAACAAGAGACTAATAAGCCTATATAAGAGATTAAGATTGAGCTCTTAGAAAAAGACATTGAAATAGAGCAGCATCAACATCTAAGTGATAAAGAAAAACAAGAAAGATATGAAAGTTTTCTTAGGAATATATCTTTAGACTTAATAATAGATGATATCCTATTAAAATAAATTTCAAAAGCAAAATTAAGAATAATGCCACTAGATATGCAAAATGAGATCCTGAGTATAGCATCACAGTCCATGAAAGAGTTACAATTACAACTACAATTACAATGTGTTTTGTATCAGTCCATCTTTGATCCAAAACCTGAGATAGATATTATTACAAAGATGTATCCACCATGTCTTTGTGATAGTAAAGAGAGTTGTATTTGTAAATCAGAGGTTAGTATAGCTGTAGGCAGGATTAACAAGAGATTTTAAACCATGGCATTTTAATTATGAGCATCATAAAAAGCATAATGTAATAAAAGTTACCCCGGCCTTACTATTAGAGTTTGGCTATCTTGATAAAATCTTTATTAACCATATTCCCAACTAGAATCATTTTCTGAAAAACTTATAAAAGTAGCAGAAGATTATCTAGAACAGTGGAAATAATTTGCATAAGTTTTATCAGTAGTCCTCCAAATTGGTATGCAAATATGCATAAGGAAAAAGTTAGGCATATAGTCATGATTAATAAAGAGTCATTTAGATTATCCTTTATCTCCCCACACAGGTGAACTCCTTCATACAAAAATATTCTAAGATTTCGAAGGATCCAAATGCTAGCCTTAGAAGAGTCTGAAGATTTTAGGTATGATATGTTACTACTAGCAGAAGAATAAGAAATGTATATTTACGGTAATATAAGAATCAGTCATCAACCCTACTGGAAACCTCAAAATTTCAAAGGAAAAATAGCAGATATGTATTACAAGGTAAAAGAAGATAGAGAAAGAGATGCAGAGCTAGTAGAAGGCAATGAACAATACTGAAATAGTTTGACAGAAAAAGAGCTGCATAAAATCGACAACATGATGGAAGCATGAAGAGCTGGCAGCAAATTAGCATAAGTTGAATAGTATCATATAAAATAATGTATTTCTAGACAGAAATGTCAATATCATTGTGGACCTAGCTACAATAATGAAATAATGGCATAAGAGTAAATAAAGAAAATAACTTGACCCATTATGAACTTTTCATACACAAAATGTCATCTTGATTAAGAATGAATAGTGGAAATCCCTTTTCATTAAGACTCCCATAAAACTTTGAAAGAATGGATGACTTCAATCAGGATCGGAACCAACATGAGCAATGCATCTCCCCCTCACTAAACCTGGAAGATTCTTACCTTGTGGAAACTGAATCTTGTCATGACAATGTAGTTGAAACAAAAATTGCCCATGATCCAGAGAGGACTTGTTCTCCATGCAGGGACAATAACCATTACCAAGGTGAGATAGATGAGTTGCATGAAAATAATTTTCTTAACCCTTCATCTAAAACTAAGTCCCGTCCATAATGAAACGGGAACTAAAGATTCTGCTAATTCACAGGAGTCTCCTTTAACAGCAAATGCAAACCAGGGGGCTAGAGAGGAGAACAAATCTGACATAGGTAGGCCAATTGATGCACCTCATGCCGGAGGAGCGAACATATTTTATTCAAAGAGGTCACAATATGAATTAATTAAGTCTTGCATTCATGAAGTAGAAAGGGAAGCTGGTGATCAACGTGTAGGGCAATTGATATCATCTCCTCTGTAAAGGAGTTGGGTCTATCAAAGACTTAAATAATACACAGATGGTTTAATTGTTAAAATAAGATTAAACATGTAGGTAATTGATCAACCTGATTTGACATATGTACATAACCGCAAAACCTTTGTAGTCGGTGAATCTTTGTAGTTTATTGTCAAGTTAATCAAAGCGCTCGAATAACCTACAATCTCTTTAAGAAATTATTCGTCAGTTCATTGGTCGATTATCACTTTCAGTTATAACATGATAACTGAAGCGCTTGAATTCGACAATTATCCCAAAATTCACACTTAGCAAACCCAAAAATTCAACACCTCGATCTCTTCTTCTTCGACACAAAATAACCAGTTCTCCTTCCTTCATCACCTAATTTCATTTCCAACTCCAATGCCAGCTCAGCCAATTTTCCCATTTTCTCTAATTGATTTCTGTTTGAAAAAAAACTTCCATATCCTCTTCTTCTAGTTAAATTGCAACCTAGTTGGATCTAGCCTACATGCAGGCAACATGATTGAATTGCAATTTCAGTCTTATGGTGTAAGATTGAAGAACAATAAAAAAATATGCAGATATAAAGAATAAAGAACACAAGGATATTTTCTTCAACACATGAAGGAAAAACCCTTGAGCACACATCCATGCAGTTGCGAATCCACTAAGGTAAAAAGAATCTTTACAATACGCAATAAGACATGCACTTACTACACTCGAAGATCTATTTTGTACTTTGGTTTTTTTTAGTACACTGTCTTTACTTTGCCTTCTCTTGGATGAACATTATTGACCGCAAATGATATTCCTCACAAGTAAAGGATACACAGAGCTTCCTCAAACATATGCATACAACAACTCATTCCTTTGGTTGGGGTTGGCAGGCAACCCTTTACCTCCTCTTTTTTCTTTCTCCTCTTTACACTTTTGTCTGTGTCCTACCCTCCACAGCCATTGGTTGTCGGTTTTTGAGGTAAGAGTCTCGGTGTCCTCGTCATTTTTCTGGCATGTCTTACTGGTTTTATCTATAGTTTTCCTGTTATATTACCTCCCCTCTTCTCCTTCTCCTTGTTGCCTCTACTTCTCTTTCTAATTCCATTTCTACAACCATTTCCCCTCTCCCCCCCTACTTCTTCTTCCCTTTTTCACTTGCCTACACCTCCATCTCTGATCCCCCATTCACCAAGTTTTGGACTTGATATCGGATGTAGATCTCTACCTTAGTGCCCCCTGCTTTACTGGCATGCTGGAAAATTTGGGCAAAGTGTTCTACGGCTTCCTTTGTAGTAAGGGTGTTTTACACATCCTCCTTGGTCATCCCCACCCTCATCTTATGTCAACTTGGTTCGTTTTTTGCAGGTATGGTGGTTGGTGTTACAGATCTAAATGTCTCGATAGATTGCACAACTCTAAGATTTGATTTTTGCTTTGGATTTTCTCTTTTTTTGGGTTAATTTACCTATGCTTGACTCAGATCCTCCTTCATTCTAGTTCATACATGGCTATCATTCTGGTGATTGCTGGCAAGAGTTCGGCAGCGGTGGGCTGTGTTTCTGTGATGGATTTTAGGTTTTATTTCTTATTGTCATGTGTTTTCAGTTTCGAGCCTCTGTTGTTATGGAATTAGGCCTCCCAGTGTTTGTCTTGGGCTGTTAGTTGGCTTTGTAATCTGTTTTATGTTTAACAAAGTTTAGCTCTTGTCCAAAAAAAATAAAAAATAAATAAAAAGCTATCATCAAAGCTCAATAATACGCCCAAGTATTATCAGTAAAGCAGTAATCGCAACATGAAAATACCTTTTTCCAGACATAATCTATTGCCACGTGAAAATGCATGCTATTATTAGTAGTGCACCCACAAAGGAACTGACCTTAGCCTTCTCTACTTTGTTCATTGATTCCGACCGTCTTTACTTCGTGAGTTGGCTGGTCATCACTTATAAAAGCATGAACGACCAGATCATATACGCAACTATTCATATCACTGTTCATTCATCATATACATACACATGAAAAATACCAAGATAGTTGTTCACGTGGCTAATCTTAGTGTCCTATTGTGACACAAATAGAGACAATCAAGATCAGCCCAAGATGATTGTTCGACTAATGCTAGGAATTCTCATTTATAATAATAATAATTTATTATTATCATTATTGTATTTTGTTATGCAAAGATTCAGAGGTATAACAAAATGGCTACGGATCAGGAGGAGCAGGTAGGGCCCGCCACCAGAAACTCCATGGCCTCATCTGCTGCTGTTCATCAACGACGACCCGAAAAAGGTGGCCTGGCAGGCCACCAAGAACCCCAACCAGCATGGAAACCGACATTCCCGGCTAAAACTCCAAACCAGCAGCTCAAAGGCCGTCAGACAACACAATCCTCGGAAAACCGTTTGAGGATGTCAGGCTGCAGTACACCATTGGAAAAGAATTGGGCAGAGGCCAATTCGGCGTGACGTATCTCTGCACCGAGATTTCGACCTGCAAGAAATACGCCTGCAAGTCTATTTCGAAGCGGAAGCTTGTCACCAAGAACGACAAGGAGGACATCAAGAGGGAGATTCAGATTATGCAGCATATGAGTGGGCAACCCAACATTGTGGAGTTCAAAGGTTGTTACGAGGACAAGCAGTCTGTCCCTGTTTGTATGGAGCTGGGGAGCTGCTTGATAGGATCATTGCCAAGGGACATTACAGTGAGAGGGCAGCTTCTTCGATATGCCGGGCGATTGTTAATGTTGTCCACATCTGTCATTTTATGGGGGTGATGCATCGGGACCTGAAGCCGGAGAATTTCTTGCTGTCTAGCAAGGATGAGAATGCCCTTCTCAAGGCTACAGATTTCGGGTTGTCGGTCTTCATTGAAGAAGGTAAATTTAGATTCATCATTTCATAGTTACTTGCTTGAAAATGCAGTATCCTCCACAATTGATATGATAGTTATAAGGTATTAGGTGAATTATGCGCATCTGCTTCAATCGCGGAATTTGTTTTCATCTGGAATTCAGTTGCATGTTACATGATGTTTCTAGTGATAATGGTACTAAATTCGTATGCCCGAAGTCAATGCAGAAGCTAGCTGGGTTTCATAATATATTTGTAGGTTGACAGAAGACTCATGACTAGGCCATTTTGTTTTAGAAAATAAGAAATGGTAACCAGGGCATGTTAGCTGGCAATTTTCAGACGGTACATAAGTACTTTATCAAAACTTGATTCTAGATGTTGAATTTATTACCGTAGACAAACTGAGCCTTAATTATGTTGGGGAATGAAGACTTGAATTGAATTCCATCAGTTTAGAATTCACTGCTTTGGTAATTTCATTTGCTTTGCCATGTTTGATAGACGATGATACACACCACACCAAACATGTTTCGCGGCCATATTCCCATAATGGCCTCCATTCTTTTCATGGAACCGAGATGGAAGGAAAAGAAAAAGCCATACTGTAAATGTTTGATGCAGTTGTATTAGTAACGAGTTAACATCTTTAACTACTGAGGGGAGGGGAGAGATGGTCTTCAATTATCGATGTGTCTGCAGATGTTTTCTGCTGCTTGATCATTCAACAGTAAAAAAGAGGCACATAATGTTTGCAGCCTATTTTCACATATCCGTGTGAGATGGGAGTCCAGACCCGTAAATTGCCATAGCCATATTGTGCTTACTTTTAACACTGTAATTGGAAACATGTATTTTAACACTTCTGTTGAACTGGGGTTTTCTGGAACAGGCCAAAAATTTGTGGTCTTGTGAACCTTCCTAATATGTTGTCTAGTTTCATGGGTTTCATAGTTATCCTTGAGATAACATCGTGGAAATAATATTGTGAAATCTTGACATCACTAGATTGTTTGCTTTAGATTTTAGCGTCACATCTCGTCTTTTAAAACTTGAGATGAGTAGATCTGTATTTTCTTTGTAATTTACCGCAGACATATGTACTAAACTTGACAGCTATTGGCCATTTTGGTGAATATTTTTCTATATTGTGTTTGATATGCTTCCGCTTGTTGCATAGCTATTCATATCTCTTTCGTGGTAAAGTCTTGTCAGGAAAGGTGTATCGTGATATAGTTGGGAGTGCTTACTATGTTGCTCCTGAAGTAATGCGATGCAGATATGGGAAGGAAATAGACATATGGAGCGCAGGAGTTATATTGTATATTTTACTAAGTGGAGTGCCTCCATTTTGGGCAGGTAAATCACAGTTTTATACTTGTTTTGCTTAACATGATATTGTGTACTAGTTATAGGTTCTGTATTTTTCATGTTGGTCTAAACGGTTAATAATTTTCAATAACTGATTCAGAAACGGAGAAGGGGATGTTTGATGCCATATTGGAGGGAGAGATTGACTTTTCAAGTGCACCATTGCCATCTATATCAACCAGTGCCAAGGACCTAGTCTGGAGGATGCTAACACAGGACCCTAAAAAACGTATCACTTCGACTCAGGTTCTAGGTACAAATCCCTCTTTTATTTAATACTTTACTTGGCTTATGTCTAGTAGATTTCTCTAGTAACTAAAACTTTTGTTGGGTCTCCAACTTAGAGCATCAATGGATCAGAGACGGCGGAGAAGCTTCAGACAAACCCATAGACAGTGCAGTGCTTTCTAGGATGAAGCAGTTCAGAGAAATGAACAAACTTAAAAAACTTGCATTGAAGGTATGTTTGTCCAGAGGCTTGCTCACATAGACTTCTTTGCCTTTTGAACGTGTGATGTATTATATACTGGATCTTATTGTCCTTCGCGTGTATAATTTATGAACGTGGTTATAGGTTATTGCGGAAAATCTTTCTGAAGAAGAAATCCATGGGCTGAAGGCAATGTTTACAAACATGGACATCGACAACAGTGGAACCATCACTTATGATGAACTCAAGTCAGGATTGGGGACTTGGCTGTAAGCTCACAGAGGCTGAAGTCAAGCAGCTAATGGAAGCTGTAAGTTATTATCAAATTTTCGATTACCTTTTCCGCATTCCATTTTGCATCCCGCCCAACTCATATTCTGCATTTGCATTTCAGGCTGATGTGGATGGGAGTAGATGGATTGACTACATTAAATTCATCACTGCTACAACGCATAAACACAGGCTAGAGAGGGGCGAACATCTTTACGAAGCCTTTCAATATTTTGACAAAGATAATAGCGGGTAAGCATTTCTTCCAATCTCTAAGAAATGTGTGCGCATTTCGTGGACGTTCATTTCCAAAGAACTAGAAATATGCCGTAGTTAATTACAATTCTGTGATAATTGACCTCAGCTCCTATTCGCTCTGGATCCAGTTCTAATATTCTTAACCATGAAATTTGATAAGATTAGGCTTATGAGTAAGCATTAATGATTAACCGGGTAATGTTTTTTGGTTCATTACAGTTTTATCACAAGAGACGAGCTAGAATCAGCAATGAAAGAGTATGGAATGGACGACGAAGCTACAATTAGGGAAATAATATCCGAAGTTGATAAAGATAATGTAAGTCGGCATCCTCACAAAAATGTTGTTTTTTCCATTATGATGAGTACTTAACTCTGTTGGGATTACAGGATGGTAGGATCAGCTATGAGGAGTTCTCCACAATGATGAGAAGTGGAATGCAACCGCAGGCCAAGCTGTTCTAGAGCTTCCGTTAACATTTCTCTGACTACTGCAAGCCATAAGTTCCAGTTCTACACTGAATGTGTAAATTGAGGTGGACCGTGAGTCACACCAGTGGTATTTCATGCTTGCTGCCAATTGCGTTCCGGAGTTATTGAAGCTTTTTTTGTTTTTGTTTTTTTGGGTTGAACAAATATTGTCTACACTAAGGAAGAAATAGTCGGCTTAGCCTCACAATAGGCTAGCAATTATGTCGTTCAAATTCGCCTTTGGCGAGAATTGAACTTAATAAAATACCTCTCACTTACAAGTGAAGAAAAATACTATTGGACCATAATACTAACTGGCGGAGTTATCAAAGCTTTTAGTTTGGATATGCATAAAAAGTCTGCGTCTCTATTGTGCCTTGTATTTATCCTTGGTCTTGTCTACGTTTTGGTATGTCAATATGTTTTAGGAAATCAATGAAGAGCAAGCTAATTAATTTAGCTCTCGTGTTTGGCTTTGTTTATTTTTTTCAATACATAAATGAAGAGAAATGATTTTTATTCGTCTTTTTCACCTCTGCACACTCGTTCTCTTACCGGTTCTTCTGGATTAAACAAATTGATAGAAAGTTAAGTGCTAGAATTGAGGAGGTTGTGAAAATAGTGAAAATGAGGACACATGAATCGCTTTCCTATACGAAGGCTTCCCTAGATTTGTAGGAAGGAAGGTGGTTTTACGCAATCATTTTTAGCTTTTCACGCACCCTGCTTCATTTAATGGCTATCAAATGAAATAAATTAAACAAAAACAAGGGACAAGATTAAGAAATGCCAAATTTTATTGTTGAAAAAACACAATCCATTTGTCGAGATAATTTGCACTACCAGGTCTCCCTCTCGTCACGTAATGAGCTAGCCTAGCTAGTCTCACTCTTTGTGGAATCCTCCACCAAATTGATAGTAAATGAAAAACGATTAGGGTTGATTAACAATGAAATCCCATAATATTGAACTGAAATCCTCATCAACCAACAAACAAGGAAGCAAATTAACAAAGACCAGCATCATGCATCAAATGTCTATAAATTCCACAGGATATAGTCGATTCTGTTATTACAACCCCAGCTCATTACTGAGCCTAACAAGCCAGGAGGTTCCAGGAGGAGCTAGTAGCAAACTGAATACAACACTAACAAACTCGAACACGACTCCAAGCCCTCAGAAACCATGAATCTTGATCCGATCCTTCTTAACAATCTCGGCCTGAACGAGAAACTGCAGCACGTTCTTGCGTTGATCGCCTTGGAGCTGAATTATCTTGCCTAATTCCTTGTCCTGAACGACATTGCCGTTGCAGCAGAACTCTTTTTTGAGGTCCTTGAGGATCTTGTCGTAGATGAAGTCTTTCTTCAGCCCTTGAACTGTCGTTAGGCACTTCTTTCCATTTCTCTGCTGCACCCTGATATGCACATAGTCCTTGGCTCCGGGGGCATCCGCGTCTTTAGCTTCGGAGAAGGGGTCAAAAGCGGTTGGGATCTGAACGTCTAATTCAACCATATATGTACTTTGCTTTGGCTTGAGAATTCTGCAACAAATTCAGCTGCACACAACAAAAAAAGCATTGTTAATCCTCCACAAATGTTGCTTCAATACCAACAATCATCCAACTAATTGGTACCATGAACACATGAAATTCAATTTATAAAAACATGAATAGATACATATTTGCCATAAATTATAAGATGGATTTTCTTGATTTCTTAAATTTATGAAACGCGGCGCAACTTCCCAAATCGAAAATTCTTGGCCAAAGGAGGTGTACACACACCCTTCTTCCAATTAACTTCGTCGAAGAAAAAGGAATTCATTTTCATATTAGCACTTCAAAATAATCACACGATAAACCTTCCTAGAAATAAAACCGTCATGATTTTTTTGAGGCGCCCATATCAACTCACAACAAAACAATACATGGGCTTTGTTTAAATCCTCCAAAAACCAAACTACTGGGCATAAAAACATGATGGAAAATAATATTTACACACTTAGTTTCTCCTTTTTGTCTCTAAAAGTAAATTTTCTTCTGATCCACAGAAGCATCAATATACACAAGGACATGAAAAACATAGTTCAATTTGTTCATGCATGAACTTAATAACATTTGTTGCAAATCAATGATCGATGTCCTAATACTTTCTCTACCAAAAACCAATAAGTAACAAAACCCATATGACACAGAAGCATCAATATACACAAAGGCAGAATACATATAGCATGATATATGATAAGAAAAAACCCATTAATTTAACTATAAATATAAAGAAAAGAAAGAAAATGATTAATTGGGATGATGGATCGTACCAGAATAATAGAAAGCTGGGAAGGGTAAGGTTTTTTTCTTTTCTTTTTTTAACTTGGAAACCTTACTAGCTTCGGAGGAGACAAGGATGAAGAAACTTAGAGAGACTTCCGGGTGTTTATATAACCACCAATTCAACAAACCGTGGCTAACCTGAGGTGGGTCCAAGAAAATATAACCTGACAACTGGACGGACGAGATCGAGTGTCTGGTAGTGTGAACGGTGAGATCAAGCTGGCGTGCGGGATTAATGGATAATATCTATTTTTTTAATAGTTAATATTTCCAGGGTACGCGTACAATGAACGCAACCCAGACTGGCAAATTCATGCAAGTGCTAGGAAAGCAAATTTATATGTAATAAATATATTGTTATCATTGTGTTTCGGTCTAATAATATATTATTATTTAAATTTATTCGATAATAATTTGTCGTTTCAGATCACTGTTAATGTTAAGTCTAATAATATATTATCATTTAAAGATGAAAATATCACGTGAATGTTCTATATGAGTTTAACGAAAGAAATTCCGTAAGAAGAAAGAAAGGTGAAGAGATTGTGGGACCACAACGAAGAATCCAGAATCAAACAATCGAGAACATTTGAGTGGATATAAAGAAAGGAAAGAATCCACTTGGCATATTAAGATACGTATGAGTTTATGTCATGCTTGCCAATGCATCAATGTTACTATTGGTGGTGGTACCCTACAAGTTGGATAACAAGTAAAGACTCCTTAAGTCGGGCATATTTTGCCTAATTGGATTCATGTGAATAATCTTGGAATGTTGTTCTTTAAAACTCAAGAGAAATTTAGTACCATCCAAATAGCATGAATCAAATTAGGAGGATCTTTCTGCACCACAAAATATAAAAATATACAAACTCTATTATGAAATGGGGTTATTTGAAGATAGGGTATTAAGTAGTATAAACTCTCGTAACTGGTTGAGCTATAAATTTTTGTAGAAATTTTCATTCTAGTATGTGAAAACTTGCACAAAATATGAGTTTTCATGTACAATATACATATGTAGAAAGATTTACCATGATAATACGTAATTTGGGGAACATCTATTGATAGTTGTGGTAACCAAAATTCACTTGCTCTAGTGGGGATGTCACGTGTGCCAAAGCAAACCTGGTTGATGGAATTACCCTAAGGGTTTCATCAACACTTAACCTTTGCACGGGTTGAGCATTAAATACAAGAAGAGATGTATCTATGTAAATCACGCTCAACAGCGATGTGCCATTATGTGCACCATGCGTCACGTGATGGAATATGTAAAGCAGTACGCTAGGCCACCCCACTCAACAAAGTTAGAAGGCTTCGTGGGCCAAGTAAGGCCTAAGGAGGACTCCATTAGCCTAGAAGCTGATGAGATCAGCCCAGATGGGTCTGATAAGGAAATCTTCAAGAGATAATGATCCCTATAATCATAGCTAAAACATAGGCCATGATTATTGATGCTGTTAAGAATCGTCCCTAAATTGGACTCTTACGGGTGCCCCACATCACGTCTCTCATAGTCAATCGCTGTCGGCTAAATAAACGAGATAATGTAGGGTTAAAACCAATCATTTTATTGCCAAAAAAAAAAAAAAACCCAAGCATTTACGGAGCGTCACACATGCCCTAATGAATTATCTTCATGCCATGCTTGACTCTATATAAAGGTATGCATACATATCATAAAAAGGTAATTGTTGCTTAACCAAGAAACCCAGAGTTTGAGAAAAAAAAAAAAAAGCAGTTATTATAGTGTTTGATAAATTTTTATATAAAACAGATGTGAAGAAAAAAAACTAATTTTTCAAAGCTGGATTTTACAACTTTATGTTTTTTGCTTTTTTTTCACTCAAAACTGTGAAAAAAAGTTTAAATTGAACGTTTATTAAACATAAAAAGGCTTGTAGTTTTTTTTTTTATAGCGATTGTTTTTCAGAATCCCAGTACCAAACTAGGGTGCGCTAGGTTTTGCCTCCACCCTCGCGGTAAAAGTCAAATAACAAAGCATATTTCCCAACGTTTCATTTGCGGGTTTGCAATTGCAGCTGCAGAGTCGTCTTCATAAAGCTCACATCTCTCTCTGACTCGAACTCTCGGTGACCGTTATTCAATTCAGCTAGTTACTTCTTCTCGTTTGCCAATATGCAGGTAACTACACATCAACCCTAATTTCTCATCTCAATTGCAATATTCTCCTCCAGTTCTTGCCTAAGTAATTGCTTAAAACCCTAATTTTCTCTTTGTTTCCGGAGAAAGAAGAGGAAGAAAATCGGCAGAAAACCCTAATATCATCACCATAGAACATTAATTTTCAGTATTTAGAGCATCTCCAATAGCCTATTCAATATTTTTTTTTTGTTAAATTAGCTGCTTAACAGTGGCAAAGAACTATTTTTGAGCTATCCAGTTTAACTAAACACCTCTAATGATATTGCAAGTGGTGGGTTGCTATGTGGTTAAAGATTCCTCTTTTAGCCCAATGCGTCCTGGGTTTGAACGCTCCCCTCCCCTTAGTGTATATTAGTGTAGAATATGCTTGTACTAGAAAGAAAAAAAAACCCTTAAGTAGTTGTTTGGTATAGTATTAAATATTAATTAATTTAGCTACTTATTCATTTTTTTGAAACAAAAAAATGGGATCCAAGACGGATTACCGAACAAGCCCTAATATTTTGTTAGTTTTCAAGAGAGAGTTGAAAAGTTTGAGAGTTTGAAGAGTTTTTTAATGTTTAGCTAAAATTCTCTCTACTCCTCTTATGGAGTGACTATTCACTATGTTAGAACAGAAAGCCATTTAAAGAGTCTCTTGAAGTAAGGTTTTGGTGGTTTTTCGCTATGGTTAGCTAATGTTGTTGTAAAGAGTCTCTTGGAGATGCTCTAATACTTGAAAGTAGTAATGAGCTTGCTAATTGTTTGTGTTTCTTATATTGAGCTCAGGCCAGTGATAGGTTCAACATCAATTCCCAGCTTGAACATCTTCAAGCTAAATATGTTGGGACCGGACATGCCGATATGAATAGATAGTGAGTATAGTCTTGCTTCTTTTGCAAAATGCAATAATCTTTTGTATTTATGATTGGGTTATGTGTTAATTTTGAACTTCTCTTTCGTTTGGAATGTGTAGTGAATGGGCCGTGAATATCCAACGCGATAGCTACGCATCCTATGTTGGCCATTATCCACTTCTTGCTTACTTTGCTCTTGCGGAGAATGAGTCCATTGGAAGAGAACGCTACAACTTTATGCAGGTTCTCTCTTACTTTTGCACTTTTATGACTTTGAGGATATGAATTGGGTGTTTCTCTATACTTATGTTTAGCTACTGTTAGTCTGGTTATGTTTTATTGGATTGTTACTTCTTTGTTGTTCATTAGTTGCGTGTTCGGTTAGTAAGTTTGCATGGCTTGAAATTTTTTCGATCCTTGTTTCATTGGTGCCTAACTAGAAGGAAGATAATTTTGAATTTAGTATGTAACTGAGACAAGAAAGGAGAAGTTGGGTGATGAATTTCTTAGAAGTTCCAGGTGGTTTAGTTTGGTAAAACATGGAGAGGAAGTTCGCTGCGTGCTTTTTGTACTGCTCTGTTTCTTAAGTAGTTGGGGTAAGGTTTTGTTTAGTTATCCAGAATATGTTCACTCTTAAGTTTACCAGGCTATACATTGTTTTCTTGAAATGTGATATTTCCATCAGTGACTTCCCGCTGATGTAAAGGCTGGGTATCCAAGATCCTGGGAGAAATCAGTCTGCAATATATCTTGTTGCAATTTCTTTAACTAAACTCAACTGAACAAAGTGCTATCCAAACTACCTGGCCTGAGTATTCCATTGCCCCTGTCAAATCCTGTTGACCAGCATAGTAGACTTAAGTACAATAGGCTACTATCCCATGGACACCTTGTCATGCTCGACCGTATAGTATTATTTATCTGTACTTCTGAATTCTGATATAATCTTGGTTTCTTGTTAGCACTTGGTCCAGTTGATCCCGCAACTGGTCTGCAGTGTTGTAAAGCCCTTCCTAATTTTTTTTTCGTATCCATATAATCTGATGTCAATGTGTGTCGGTTTCTTTTCTTTGTTATTTGGGCCTGGTGATGGGTAATTTATGATGGTTTTCTATTGCACCCGGTGATCTTAAAATTCATGCGGTAGAGATATTTGATAATGCGTTAGTAAAAACTCGAGCTGTGATACTTGTCTTTATGATTTATTGAATTGATTTGTTTTCATTGTTGTGCAGAAAATGCTTTTGCCATGCGGTCCTCCCCCGGAAAGAGAAGACGATTGATTACCTCTATATTGTCCTAAGAACTTACCTCTTTATGATGTACACCCATCACAGCGCCTCATTCCCAATAAAACACTGACATGTGTAAGGTTTTTACTCATGGCATAGTATTATTGGATTGGAACGCCACGTGACAGTAAACTTTTTCCATGTACGTTGCCCTCCTATCTATCCCGTTTGCTGAAAAAAGTGATCATATGTGACTTTGATTACGTGTACTTGATCGTTCTTTTCAATTCATGAATCTAATGCCTTCTTGTGGCCCTTATCCGTATTCATTCACGTTAAGCTGCATTATGACATCAAACTTTTTATCATTGCCATAATTCATGCATCTAATTCACTAAAGCTGTTTATGAAGCCGAAAACAGGTTGGACAGATCTCTGGGTGAGAAAGTTTTATTTGAATAAATCGGTTTAGATCCGATTTCAACAAATAGGAAAACTGAATAAAACCTTTTGCATAGCCATGTTTTTTGTGGTTCGTCCTATAAATCATTACAACAACAAAAGTTCAAGAATGCTCAACAAGAAAAACAGAATCGTATATAAAGGATACTTGCAAAAATGTTAAATGCATATCGAAAATCTAAGTGCTGAAATCACATTGACCATCACAAGCGTTTGAAGCTTACATAATTATGTTGGTGTTGCAACTTCAAACCCTCGATCAACTTGATCAAAACTCCCAGCATCTGCTCTAAAACCTAGTTTGTGCGAAAACACACGTCACATAATCTCACAAACGAAATTAGGCCAGTTTGAGATTTCAGGAACAAAAACATGGATTCTTATTTTCATACATTATAATACTCAGAAAATTTTCAATCTGCAGAATATAGATCTTCCTGCAAAGCTTCTTCCTCTCTTTTTATTTCCTCACTTATCAACTCTACCCTGACACATTCATGAGAAAAGTGGAACGCATTATTATATCACACCGTCACGTAATCATTTAGAAAAACATTGGTTTATGGGTGCACTGCACTTAAGAGAGGTGCAGAAAGTTGCAATCCTTAGAGTTAGTTAGTGGTGACAAAAATAAGGCAGTCAATGATCTTGAGAGTGAATATAGCGATTTTCTTAAGAAAAAGAAAATTCTTTATGTTGAGCCGTTCGGTGGTTGAACATTTGAAATACTTGTTTGATGACGGCTACTCGTGTTAGGTACTAGCTTATATAACAAACTATACATGTCAAATGAAATAGCCAAACATCTTGCTCCATGGAAAAGGGAATTGTCTCAAGATAAAACTTGCTTTAAGAGAGTAATTCAAACCTTTCTGGAAAACACAAAATAGAGCCAAGTAAAACACAAAAGAAGAACGGAGGACTAAAGAGAAACAACATAAAATGTAGCAACAACGTGAGATTTTTGTAGGTATAAGGGCATAACTGAGAATAAGTTATTTGCTTATTTGCCCTATATTGAATTACCCTTAATGCTATAAATATTTTCAATGAAGATGTCCATAGATAAATGTCAAATATTAATTCAATAACAATTTAGCTCATACGTTTTTATTAGTTATAAGTGATATTTATAGGATTCATTTTCGTGAATTAATGGGACTCACATAATAAATAATTAAAAGATTTTTTTTTTAACAAACGATATTATCTACACTAAAGGGAGAGGAGGTGGGCTTAGCCTCACAATGAACTAGCAATAATGTAGCTCAAAGTTGCATTTGACGATAATTAAACTTAAGATCTCTCATTTAAGAGTGAAGAGAAATACCACTAGACCGTAATACTAAGTGACATAGATTTGTTAAATTAGTTACCGACGGAGTTCGAACTTAGATTGTCATGCAAGTGTTTAATTCCCTTCCACCGTTGTGGTAAAGGCTACTTTCATAATTAAAAGATTATTTGATATCACATTTTTTCACATATCAAATTGGACATATGAACATTCAGAAGCATTTTTGCTAATCATCTTAACTATAGTGTATGCATCATACACCTAATAATTAGACGTTTGTCAAATAATTAAGTGTATGATAAGGAGATGGTGAATAAAAATGCTTCGAAAATGCTCCTATGAAAATTTGTACGCCGATCTATATCGAATTAATATGTCCATGATGTTATAGGCCTATTTGATTGAATGACCTAGGGTTTAGAGAGAGAGAGGGGTTCAACAATATTGAGAGAGAAGAGAGATTGATTTAATTGTGAGGTGCCTTTGATTCAACCCATTGTGCCTTTATTTATAGTAGTACGATAGGTAAAAACCTTTCCCTTTAGGATTACAACATTGAATAGGTAATCTACTCCTAATAGGAATATAAGATACATTCCCAGATTCCCTAGGATTTACGCAATCACATTCCTATTCTAAATATGACTACAACACTCCCCCTTGGGTGTGTATATACTCAACAAACCATCGCATCAGATCTTCAGCAGATAAGGTAGAATAGTTGATGAAGTCATCGACACAACAAGTGATCGCGAGTCTCAAATTTAAGTGAAGTATGCATTTGTAGTAAAACTCACAAAACCTTGCTATGGTAAAACCCAAGGTATGGGGAAAACCCATAGACTAAGGAGAAAAGCGAGAAGTATGCATAATGTCTAAAAATGAACGTCAAACTGGATGAAGGAAGTAAACTCAACGGAGTATGATCATCCCAGGATGGGTGTCTCATTAAAACCTCGTTAGGCAGCAAAAATCCAGTGGGAAAAATGCTCCTAATTGTAGGAAAAAGAGTACATTAAAATCATGTGAGTATGCTTGGAGATTTGTGAGTATAGAACAAGCCTAAATCCGTAGTACATTTGAGGTATCGGAAAATGTCTTTAACATCATTCCAGTGCCTGCGTGTGGGCGCATTGCTATATCTTGTCAAAAGATTCACTGCGAAGGAGATGTCGGGTCTAGTGCACGGAGCCAAGTACAATAAAGCCCTAATTGCACTTAGGTAAGGAACTTCGGGTTCTAAAATCTCTTCCTCATCCTCCTTTGGATGGAAGGGATCTCATTTAGCATGTAGAGTCCGAACAACCATGGGTGTACTCGAAGGCTTCGCTTTAAAACGACGCAATACCTTTTGGGTGTAGTTCGATTGATGTACTAGGATTCCATCCGAACAATGCTTGATCTTTAGGCCGAGATAATATTTAGTTTTCCCAAGATCCTTCATCTTAAATTCAGATTTCAAGTGTGCAGTAATTTCCTCAGGCTCTGCAGGAATCCTAATGAGATTCATGTGATTGACATAAACTGCAACGATTGCAAATCCGGAATGTGACTTCTTTATAAACACACATGGGCATAGTTCGTTGTTCACATAATCCTAACTTGTCAAATATTTACTCAGACAATTATACCACATCCACCCAGATTGTTTTAATCCGTAGAGTGGCCTCCTCAACCTAATTAAGAAAGTGTTCCATGATCTAGAACTATTTGAGCCAGTTAATAGAAGTCCTTCTGGAACTTTCATGTAGATTTTCGTATTTAGATCCCTATAGAGATACGCGGTTACCATGTCCATAAGCTACATATTCAATTTTTCTGAAACTACCAAACTGATTAGGTAGCAGAACGTTATAATGTCTATTACAGGGGAATACGTCTCCTCGTAATCAATCCTTAGGCACTAAGAGAAGCCTTGCGCTACTTTGTATCGCACTATTTTATTCTTCTTATTACGCTTCCTCACGAAAACCCACTTGTAGCCAACAGGCTTAACGCGCAGTGGTGTTGGAACAATAGGTCCAAACACTTTATGTTTCGCGAGCGAATCGAGTTCGACCTAGATTGCTTGTTTCCAATTTGACCAATCGGTTCTACGTCGGCATTTATCAACGGAACGTGGTTCAATGTCATCGCCAAGCATGATGTCAGTAGCTACTGAGTATGAGAATGTATTGTCGACGATCATCTCATGCTTATTCCAAACCTCATCCAATACTGTGTAGTGGACCGAAATCTCACGATTCTCGGAAGGTCATCATGTTTCATCTGAAGCATTACCGTAATCTAGAATAACCTTATGCATTGGAACGGATGAGAGGGTGATGGTCAAATTCAAACTAGGGTTACTAGTTAGTGCCATTTTCCTCTTCCGAGGTTGTGAATCCTTTGAACCAAGGGGTCTACCATGCTTCAGGGTCAGAGCAAATGATTGGCTAACCGCCAATGTACCTTATCTAGGCCTGGCAAACGGGTCGTGTCTATCGTGTTCGTGTCGTTTTCGTGTAACACCTGTTATCTTAACGGGTCGTGTCGTGTCACACCCGTTATCTTAACGGGTCCTTAACTGGTCGTGTCACTTTACCCACCGGGTAAAGTGACCCGACCCGTTATGACCCGTTATGACCCGTTAAGAAAAAAATATATTTTTTTAAAATTTGCACATACCACACATTGCCACATAAATATTACTTCAAAACATTAAAACATTTCTCGTTCAAGTACTATATCTACACTCGAAAATAAAAGCCTAATAAAAAAAATAATACATACACTACTAATATATTACAAATATTAAATGTGCAAGGATAAAGAGTTTTTGTTTTTAAGATTGTAAGTCTTTCTCAAAAGTTTACACCTCCATTTACAAAATCTTCAATTTACATCGATCATCATGAAATTGTATTCAATTTACACCTACATCTATATAATTATTATAGTTTTTACTTTTTAGGGATATAAAATTATTAAATTAATGTATATAATTATTAATATTATGGTTGATTCATACTTTTGTTAAGTATATAAATTATAACATAAGATTTTGTGATATCCACATCCACTAGTGTAAATATATTAAATTGAAGATCGAATTCATTCATTGTATTCATATAGGGTCAAGGAGTGTAGTTATAAAAAATCATCAAAATCGGAGTTAAAATAACCGTTAAATCTTGATTTTTCGTTTATAACCGTTGAAAAGCTTTGTCCCGTTACTTGATCTTTGAATGTTTTTTTTTTGTGATTTTTTGCTGATGTGATCTCCAAGCATATACAAACAATTTTGACGGTTTTGATCGTTGAAATTAGTTTTGGAGAATTCGTAAAACGATAGATTGACTAACACTTAGAGTTTATTTATACTTTTATTAAGTATAACATAAGATTTGTGGTATCCACTTGTGTAAATATTTTAAATTGAAGATCTAATTCATTCATTGTATTCATATAGGGTCAAGGAGTGTAGTTATAAAAAATCATCAAAATCGGAGTTAAAATAACCGTTAAATCTTGATTTTTCGTTTATAACCGTTGAAAAGCTTTGTCCCGTTACTTGATCTCTGAAT